GGAGAAGGGATTGCGGTGTGACCATCCCCCCTGGGGGGTGATTTCTCGCTTTCTGTCTCTCTGTCTCTGTCTGTCTGGCGAGCGCACGCGCCCTATAGCAAAAACCTCTCCAAAAATAAATAAATAAATAATGATAATAAAAAAGATTAATCATTCTTTTTAAAAGGTGGCAGTACCATTTAAAAAAATATTTTTTAGGGACCAGCAGTTGGCATAATGGCTGCATCGCTGGACTCCCATGTAGTCGACTGTGGTTTGAGTCCCGGACCTGGTGGCTTAAATGCGTATGTATGTGTGCCCAAGATCCCGAGAGGAGCATGGAGGAGAAGGGATTACAGCATGGCCATCCCCCCAGGGGGTGATTTCTCACTTTCTTTCTGTCTTTCTGGGAGCGCACGTGCCCTATAGCAAAAATCTCTCAAAAAATAAAAATAAAAACTATATATATTTTTAAAAAGTATACATATGGCATAGTGGTTGAAGGCGCTGGATTTCCACGTGGCTGACTGCAGTTCGAGTCATTGGACTTGGTGGTTTGCTCTCTTTCTTTCCCTTCCTGTCTGTCTGTCTGTCTGGTTAAATTTAAAATAATAATAATAGCAAAAGGAATTAAATAAATAATTCTTTAAAAAGAAAAAGTAGGGGACCAGCAGGTGGCATGGTGGTTAAGACGCTGGACACTCCCACATGGTTGACCAGGGTTCGAGTCCTGAATCTGGTGGCTTGCTTTCTTACTTCCTCTCTCTCTCACTCTCACCCTCTGTTTCTCTTGGTCAAACTGTGGTGGTTAAAGGAACTGGATTCCCACATGACCGACCGTTTGAGTCCCAGACCTGGTTGCTTGCTTTCTCATTTTGCCCTTCTCTCTCTCTGTCTCTGTCTGATCAAATTAAAAAACAATAACAAATGGAAATAAATAAATAATTCTTAAAAAGAAAAGTATACATATCTGATCAGCAGATGGCATAATGGTTATGTCACTGGACTCCTATGTGGTCAACCACGGTTCGAGTCCTGGACCTGGCAGGACTCACACGTGCATGTGTGCCCAAAATCCCAAGAGGAGAATGAAGGAGAAGGGACTGCAGTGTAGCCATCCCCCCCTGGGGAGTGATTTCTCACCTTCTGTCTCTCTTTCTCTGGCTGGCAAGCACACACACACTATAACAAAAATCTCTCTCTCAAAAACAAAAGTATACATATCCAAAAAATATTACCTAAATCTCGATATCTGGCTTCACTATCACTATCATCATTCTCCTCATGCTCTCATATGGCTTCAAGGAGGCAGAGCCGGACAGCAGCCTCTTTTCAGAAAAGATAACACACTATCCTCTGTGATCTTTCACTTCGAGCATGCCTGGTGGACTGTGGCCGCCCACAGTCACAGTTTCACCTAAAGACTTAGGAGTGGTGGGCCAGCCCTGTGGCATGGTGATTGAGGAAGCTAGAGTCCACAAGGCCAGCTGCACAGTTCAAATCCCAGACTTGGCAGCTTGGAAAACACACTGGGTGCATGTGTACATACTCCCCAAACCCCAACAGGATGGAGAAATGAAGAAGGAATTGTGGCGTGACCACGCCCCACTGCGGGATACTTTCTCTCTCTCTCTCTCTTAAAAAAAAAAGAAGAAGAAAGATAAATTTAGGATTGACCATGGCAGCTGACAGAGCACAACCCCGCCTAGGCGCTGCAATGTTTTGGGGCCAGAAAATGGGCAGTGTCCCCTGAGGAGAGCAGTGGAACATGTTCTTTACAGAAGACAGCCCCAACTTCTCCTGGCACTCACCTGACACAGAGGCAATTCCTAACCCATCTCCCTGCTCCCAGGTGACCTGACAGCAGCCACAGAGCAGCCAAACCACCGATTTGGTTTTTTGTTTTGTTTGTTTTGAGAGATTTTTGTGCTCATCTGATAGAGAAACAGAAAGCAGGAAATCACCTCCCAGGGAGGATGGCCACACCGCAATCCCTTCTCCTCCATCTTCCCCTCAGGATTGTGGGCACTCACGCACATGCACCCAACATGAGTTTTAAGTCTCTGGGTTTGGGGTTCAAACCATGGTTCACTATAAACCACCACAGTCAGGGAGTTCAGCGATGTAACAATTACACTAGCTGGTCCCTCAAACCACCAATTCTAGCCCTGCCCTCCCAAATGGAAGGGGTTCCCCACCCAACAGCAGGCAAGCCTGTAGCGGAACAACCTCTCCTTACTGGCCTCGTCTGCTCATTTCTGCCCTCTGCCCTCATGCATCTGGCCTGTCATATACAGACTCATCTCTCAGGATGCAGGGCAGGGCAGTCCTGAGCTGTCAGGTCCAGGGAATGCATGAAAAACCCACCCCCTAAGCCAGCCTCAGCCCCACCACCCTCTCCAAAGCCGGGTGCCTCCACCTTCCATGGTACACCCTCCCCCCCCCAAAAAAAAAACCTCCACCCTAAAAGTTGTCCAAAGGACTAGATCTCAGAGAACCCGGACTGGGAAAAAGAGGCAACCATAAACCGGTGCAGGAGGTCGCCTTTAAGGGAAGCATCCATATATAAAGCACA